GCACGCGCCCACACAGAGAGCAACCAACCAGGTTCCGTGGGGCGGAGTGGCCCAACAGAGTCAGCGGGCGCTCGGGGAAAGGACCTCTGGGGTATCCGCCTCCCCAGAAGGTTAGCGTGAGCCTGGCGCCCAGACTGGAGCGCGGAGCTGCCAGCACAAGGTCATGGCTGCGCGCTCTCTATGGCTAGTGGTCCACCTGGTCTTTCGTCTGGAACCAGTGCGTTTACTTCGCCCAGCAGACAGCGCGTCTGGCAGATGCAGCTGGAGGACAGCCACGGGTCACTGGTCACCTAGAGGCATCTAACGCATCACATGCCCAGGTCGCTGTGTGGAGAGCATCCTCTTCAAGAGACAGGAACTCTGTTTGCCTCTGTGTTTGCAAAGCAAAGGCGGCAGTGTAACTCAGAGCCCGTTGTCTCCCAAACCCGGTCCAGAATATTCTTGCTACATCGTCGCCTCTCACTCGGCCCTTTTGGAAATCCAAATAGATGTGTGTAGTTCGTGCTTGAATTATCCATGAGGATAGACTTGCTGTCTTCTTTAAGTCTGGATCTCGTGTGCCTTCTCCATTATCTGTTGACTTGCAAAAGAATTGAGCAATCCAACAGAAAAAGTTAAAGCTGTATACTTTAGGGTTGGGGATCAGTTTTATTTTAAATTCCCCAAAGGGTGTAATTTGATGACAAGTGTTACAAAACATCCCGTTCATATAGAGCACGTCAAAATTTCCTGTCCCTATTCTGTGGTGTCCAGTAGACGCCAAACTTTCAACACTATTTCCCCCTTGTTGGATGCAGTCATTTACATATGCGGTACCTGGTTTATGAAATACTGTTTGTCAGTCTATAAACATAAAAACAGCTAGCTAATTTTAACTGAGTACTAATCATGTACTGGGACTACGCTGGAGTCCTTTACGTTTTCTCTGACCTATTCTCTGTAACCTTAAGAAGTGGGACACAGATGAGTAAACTGAAACTTGAAGTTTAAGTCGCTTTCCTGGGGTCCGGCTGCTACGTAAAACAGCCATGCCAGAATCAGAAACGCCCTCGTCTGCAGCACCTAGCTGAGAGCAGGTCTCTGTTTGCCTACATCCAACCCTTTTCTTCTCCCGTGGGTTTCAATAGACTGACGAGCTGGAGGAAGCCTATTAACACACATTTCCCGTGAATCACCTTGGCATCCTTGATACTAGCTTGATGATGTTACTGTCTCCAAGCACCTTTGACACAGCAGCAGGAAAGGTGAGTTAAGGGAAAACTGGTCAACAGAATAGAATCTCTGGCCTGACTGGAGAATTGACATTTCAGTTAAGGGTGCCAGTCATTGGCTAAGGCACCACCCATAGGAAGGCGGGCTCACCTGAAGCCATATTAAAGTGGCAAATGAAATACTTCTTTCTTTAATGAGATGGTTCACTTTTCCTTCCCAGAATCCCTGCCCCTCCCCCCCCCACTAGAGTCTCTTACGGGGAGGCTGACATGCAGCTTCCTAAATCTGCCCATTTTCCTAAATTACTCAGAAAAGCCAAAATTTTCCCTTTCTCATCTTTTCTAAGCCTATGTTCTCTAAACTTCGGGCTTCACTCTCTTGAAGCTCCTCCCCATCGTGTCTCACCTCCATGCTAAGGAGCTCTATTATTTTTTTTTTTCCTCTTTATCTCCTTCTTTTGCTTCCTCTTGGGCAGCTGCTGAGATTTCCTCATGGCCTGCCCTGGAGGTTTTCCTTTCCCTCCCCCTCTCCCTCCACTTCCCTCTCTTCCTCTCCCTCTCCCTCTCCCTCCCCTTCCCCTTTTGTTTTTCCGAGACATTTTCTCAGTAGATTTGGAGCCTGTCCTGGAACTAGCTCTGTAGACCAGGCTAGCCTACAACTCATAGAATCCTCCTGCCTCTGCACCACCACCGCCCTTTGAGGCTTTTCTTTTAAACTAGCATAAAATTGTCCTCTAACTTCAAATTGAGTGCATTCTTATTTTATCAATGAAACTAAGAGCCCCAAAAGGAGACCTTGATTTCCTAATATCATTTAGCTACCATGAAGGGGACTCTCTAAAATTCTAGTAACACCTTTATACTAAAAATATAAATACCTTGTAGCCAATGTGGTAGTAAGGATGATAATCTAAAAAACAAAAACAATACCCACACGTGTCTTACTCATTGTTTTTTAGAATATTGAAACAATGCATCTCAAGAAATCAAAGCTCCCCTCCAGGAATCTCATCCCGGAAGGAGAGAAAGCCTAAAGCATGAGCCAGCCAGAAGGGAAACCTTTCTCTCAGAAAGAGATTTACAACTTGTCAGACCACTCTGGAAAAAAAAAAAAAAAAATGAGGATGGACAGGACTACACCTTGGACCACCCAGACTCACATACTGCTGGCCACTGGCCCTCTGCAGAACATTAACTGCATGTCAGGATCTCCTGCCGAAGATGATCCTGGGGCATCCCTCATGTCTTTGTCCCTCTTCTCAATGTGGCCACATTGAATTAATTCCCTTTTTCTGCTTTCTACTATTAATCTGGCTTTTTAATTGGCTTAGGAAAGACAGGTATTTGAACTTGGTTTTCCAGGCCACAGGTCATGATCTCTGGTAACGGTCTCTAACCCATAAATAACAAGAAAAAATGGGTTTGATTGAGGTGACACACTAGTTAAGTGCTTTCCTGCCTGGAGATAGACTAGCATGAAGACCTGGGTGCATCCCAGTATGCAGAGACCCAGTGTGGTGACACAAGCCTCTTATCTCAACTCTGAATACAGACACTAGAGGATCAGAAGTTCAAGGTCATCTTCCACTACACTCAGAGTTCCAGGCTACCCTGGGCTACATAAGATCCTTGACTGGAAAAGAAATTATCTTCAAATGGGTGAATTTTATAATTACATATATACACACAAATATCTATGAAGCTGGCATTAGAAACACATTCCTAAGGTGCTTAGAAACAGACACATGGGACTAGAAAGGACTTGAATGTCATTTAACTGTAATACCTATGAAAGTTTCTGTCACACACCCCCACCACCTTTAGCCTCCCCACTCTACCTCCACCTCCTTTCTGTCTGGGACCAGACTCTACACTATTACTCATGCCTAGGGCTGGTTTTTAAAGTCCCCTGCTTCCTAAATTAATGTAATATGTTTTGATGTGAAATGATCTTGTTGGTGACTTCCTCTCCCATATGCTCTGTTGTTTTCGTGTTACTTTCAACTCCTCCAGTTTTCAAAAGACTTCAAAATATGGGGCTCTAATTAGTGACATAATTATGTTATATCGAGAATCAGATCTAATTTTTCAATAATGTCTATTTATAAGCTTGGATTTGGTGCAGGCTGTGCTTAAGCCCTGTTTACTGTCAGTTCTCATCACTTATTTATGTTTCAATTATAAGTAATAAATGTGTTGTAGCCGCTGGAACATCTAGTCTCTGGGTTTTTGCTCTAAGCAGATGTCAGCTTTCTTTTTCCACATATGAGTAACTTTATAAGATCACAAATGACAAATATATATCAGTCCTTTCCCGTGAACAATTAGAACAGGATCATTTGATAAACAGAGTTCTCCTTGCCAGGAATCATTATGCGCCAATAGGCAAGTTCGCCCAGATAGCTCATTTCCTGATTTACCTAGCATAGGGATTAAGCAATTCACGTTAAAGCCACACATACTTGGAGAAGTTTCTATTTCAAAATGAATCTAATATTTGGGACAGTTTCCTCCTTAGTCTTCATGGACTCTTTACCCTTGGCTGGTGCAGGGGGTTTTTGTTGATGCTCATTTAAATAAAAGTTACACCTTCTCGATTTTGTAAGAGGCTCAAATCTATGCAAGTCCCTGTGGTGAGTCATGTTTATGGATGACTTTGTCTCAGTTCTTCAAGGAGAGTTCCTCCTTCTAAGACAGCCCCTCCCTCTATGGGACATTGCCACACCCTCCTGCTATCTTCATTGCACTTATCTCCCTTTACCTGAATGACTTCATCCATGCATGTGTTAACTTGCTTATATTCTGTGACCCTCAGCAACACCCCCTCCACTATAATGTAAGGTATATGAAGGAATGGACTCTGTGTTTATGTTTACACCAAAAAAATTATGGAACAAACACTCAGTGGGTGTTCAATACATGGCCTTTGCGTGAATGAAATATAAAATGTTCATGGTACATGAAGGATTATTGCTTGCACCTTGCAAGGCCAGTTCCCAAAATAAGCATAACCCATAATAATGCTGGAGATTAAGGAATGCACTATCTGAAAAGAAAATGTGGGGCTGGGAGATGGCTCAGTCAGTAAAGGCTTTGCTGTATAAACAGAAGGACCCGAGTTCAAGCCCCAGAATTCACTTTTCGAAAGTCAGGCCTGGTGGCATATATTTGGAATCCCAGCTGAGGAAGCAAAGATAGGCAGAGCCCTGGGGTTGGTCTAGCACACTTGGCAAGATCTGGGTCAATGAGAACCCATGTCTCACAAAACAAAAACAAACAAAAACCAAACTGGATGGCACCTGAAAACAGCCAATGTCATCCTCTGGCTTCCACGGGCAAGGGTACTTGCTTTCACACTAAGGAAGTACTGGAGCTGGGCATGGCAGGTGTCTATTTCAACACTCTGGAATTAAAGGCAAGAGGAGAGAGCTGGAAGGAAGGAAGATACTGTTTCCGAAGATAATGTGATAGAATGACTGTCTTTAACATGTCCTACCTTTTTTCAAATTTATGAAAAGTGAGACACTTAGAATGTGGCAAAAGGTAAATGTCTTAGTTAGGATTTTATTGCTGTGCGGAGACACCATGACCATAGCAACTCTTATAAAGGGAAACATTGAATTGGGTCTGGGTTACAGTTTAGAGGTTTAGTTCATTATCAACATGGCTAGAAGCATAGTAG